GCAAAAAAAATCATTTCTGACACCCCTAGGCTTTGTACGCCAATATAATTCATCAAAACCATACTGCAGTCCTTCAATTATCATACAGGGAAATTTTCATCCTTCTAAACATCCCAACGAAAGATTTGACAGGTTCTTTAACATTCATTAACATTTAAAAAGTTGTGCTACTATAAGTTGAATTTGGCTCCGGTGTTAAACAGAAACATCAAACAGAATCGATTGGTTTACTAGTTATTATTTTGGGAGCACTCCCTTTAAAAGGACCTACCGCTCTATCCAGGGCAAACATAGTGTTTGTCACAGCTCCTAGATCTCGTTTCTCAAACAGGTCATTAGTTTGGAACACATCAACCTGCAGTACAGTGGGACACATACAATTATGGAAAAGGAAGACGACGTTAAATCTACCTTTGATTTTAAAGCACGGTGATTAAGCTATATACACTCAACATAGCCAATTATTTCAATGAACAAAATCAAATACTACACATCAATATACAGGGTGTCCCACATCAAATTAGACCGCGTCAATGGGTCTAAATTACAATTTCCGGGATAAATCAGAAAATTTAAGAAGAATGAATCATTTTAAAAAATTTGATTAGGCTAATAGAAATTTTTTTTGCAGAAAATGCTAGATTTTTTGAGTATTATGTGCGCATTTTGGCGTTAAAGATTGGAGATAATCTAATATGATATGGGACGCTCTGATGATATATATACATATATAAAGTATATGTAGTCTATGTCAATCTATTTGTATATCCGATCTTAACTGATTAAACCCTTGACCGATTTGCCTCAAATTTTGATTAAGAACCACGGGAATGTTTTCATCTTGATTTAAAAATTCTAAGTTGAATGGGTTGACGTATATATAGTTTTTAAATTCTCGAAATTCATGTCGTCTTGACAATTTTTCAATAAGTTTTACACGTATTATTAAATATTTTACCTAAATATCAGTAATTGCAAAAAATAAATATGTGGGAACAGTTTTAAAGAGCTCCATTTAAACATGCAATTAAAAAACTTAATATCTTCAGCATTCCATTAAGAATACGACATTTTATAAATTTGTTCAATGTCTTCGAAGTACTGGGTTAAACTGGTTTTGTTTATATATACAGGTTTGGAACACATTAATCTATAACATCTGATTACATTTTACAATGTACAGTGTACGAGTGTGTTTAGATATACAGGTTTTGGAACACATTAATCTATAACATCTGAATACATTTTACAATGTACAGTGTACGAGTGTGTTTAGATATACGGGTTTGGAACACATTAATCTATAACATCTGAATACATTTTACAATGTACAGTTTATGAGTGTATTTAATTTTCACAAAATTTCCAACAAAAACCTGGGATTTGTGGGATTAAAAAGACAGCATTTATTATGCACACAGGGTTACCCGTATTGGTGTAAGTAGGTGAGTATCAAATGACATTATTTTGATGTTTTTGACTACACGCACGGAAAAAATGACAAATTACCCCAATTTTGGGGCTATTTACATCTATAGGGGTTACCCAGGGTTTCTTTCTTTGTCAAACCATAAGATTTACCATTTAAAGATAATATTCAAGGCAGAAGACCATTTTTAGATTATTTACCCTTTAAAATCACAAGGTTGAGGTATAGATAAAGATAGATTGCGCATAAGACGAGATTTTTCATCTTGAAAGATATAAATGTACAGAGATGTTTAAAGATATTCCTATTATATAGATTAACTAGGTCGGTTGTGAACATTGGCTGTTCTATATGTCATTGAGTGTATATGGCATTGTGGTGTACATGAGTTCTGTGAAAAGAAATTTAAGTTAGTTTAGTCCTTTTCATGTTCTTCTTCAATTCTCATCAATATGATATATTGATCAGTGAAATAATTTGATATTCTCAAAATAAAATTCACTCCTGAGTGGTTTAATAATTATGAAATCCATTAAAACACCAAACCACCCCGCTTATCATTGAAGTACACTCAGACCCCTAGAAGTATGAGTTCGCGGACTGTACAATTCTTGGTGATTTTGCATACATAAGCTATCTATGTTTATTTATTTATCTGTGAGTTTACCGCGATATTTTAAAGACGATCGGCTCATGATTATTCATGTTAGGTTAGGACTCACACATTGTCCCTTNATAAGCTATCTATGTTTATTTATTTATCTATGGGTTTTTGTATTTGTAATGATATTTCTGTCACTATACACTATATTCAAATCAAAATATAAATCTTCCAAAACAAAAAGTTGGACGATTGTCTTTGTTCTTTCTAAAAATTAATTAATTAAGCAAAAAATGGCATTAATCAAATAATAATAAATAATAATAATTAAAATGTGGGAAAACATTTAACATTAATATTTGTTTTACAAAATTATTTACCTGATCTACCCCGTAGTTCAGAAATGCATTGTGTAACCTAAACAAATCATTAAACAATAAAATAACTTGAGATTTTAGAACATGGTCAAATTTTCTTATCCCTTTATCAAATCTGATGGTTTAAACCTTTACATTTTAAACTCAGATTATTTATTAAAACAGAATAAATAGTTTGAAGCATCTCAGGTCTAGGAGATTGGTTTGTAAAGATATGGTGGTTATATAATCAGAGTTTGTTGCAAAGACTCAATTTGTTTTGAAAAATCTAAAATATTTTAAGAAAGAAGGGATAATTGAATTTTACAAAAAACTATTCAATGTGTGTAGTGGAGATAATGAAAAACAGCTTCAGAAGGATTACAGACTTTTCTTGTTCAAAAAAACTAGGCTTCTCTTATTGGTCAGCTTAATCGAGGGCTCGACCAATCAGGATTCTGGATTTTTAAAATCTTCGTAAATCAGAAGTAAGGATTCAAACATTTAAGATTTTAATTTGAAAAGATAAACTCTTGCATTCAGCAGTTTCCGTTCATGAATTCTATCCAGAAGTCCAGATCACTGAGCTAAAAACATCTTCCCGATGCTAAGAAATGTCGATAATAAAACCATTAATACAAATTTAAACCATTTATATATAAAAAAATCTTACATTCTTTGTAATTAGCATAACTGTCGAGAAAAATATCAAGTTTCAAGGAATTAAAAAAAATAAAAAAAATAAAGTTACTCCGGAACATGACAGACAGGGTTTCATTTTAGCTTGAAGCCAAGAAAGTTTTAAAATCTTCTTTCATCAAATTAAAATTTATTTTGAATTAAACAATTTACTTTGTTATGTTCTCCATGAGCTTGAAGTTTGCACCGCTCGTGTTTATTTTGGTAACACTACCAGGCTGCAGTACGTTCATAAACCTGAACAATATGCTGCAGTACGTTCATGTACCTAAACAATATGCTGCAGTACGTTCATAAACCTAAACAATATGCTGCAGTACATTCATAAACATAAACAATGTGCTGCAGTATGTTCATAAACCTGAACAATATGCTGCAGTACTTTCATAAACCTAAATAATATGCTGCAATACGTTAATAAATTAACCTATGCAATATACTGCAGTACGTTCATAAAACTAAATAATATGCTGCAGTACGTTTATAAACCTAAATAATATGCTGCAGTACGTTCATAAATTAACCTATGCAATTTACTGCAGTACGTTCATAAACCTAATGATATGCTGCAGTACGTTCATAAACTTAAACAATATGCTGAAGTACGTTCATAAACCTAAATAATATGCTGAAGTACGTTCATAAAACTAAATAATATGCTGCAGTACGTTCATAAACCTAACTAATATGCTGCAGTACGTTCATAAATCTAAACAATATGCTGCAGTAAGTTCATAAACCTAACTAATATGCTGCAGTACGTTTATAAACCTAAATAATACCCTGCAGTACGTTCATAAACCTAAATAATATGCTGCAGTACGTTCATAAACCTAAATAATAGGCTGTAGTGCGTTCATAAACCTAAATAAAATGCTGCAGTACGTTCATAAACATAAACAATATGCTGCAGTACGTTCATAAACCTAAAAAATATATTGCAGTACGTTCATAAACCTAAATAATATGCTGCAGTACGTTCATAAACCTAAGCAATATACTGCAGTACGTTTATAAAAACTAAACAGTTTTCTGCAGTACGTTCATAAACTTAAGCAGAACGTTCAGCGATTGAGTGGGAGGAAAACCCTAGATACATTAGAATAGATCTAGTCTTATTTATCCAGGAAGAAAAATTAAGATTGTTATTTTATTTCTTCTTTTAAAGAAAATTGAATGTTTTATTCAAATATCCTTTTTACAAAAATCTGCAAGGGCACATTTTAAAAAATATCACTTTTGATATTTTCCCCTGGAAGTAGAGACTAGCAGCTTAAGTGCCCGGAGTTGGCGTAACCAGTTTAGAATAAAATAATTTATTTTATTCAATTTTGGGAGAATTTTTATCCCGCATTTTTACTCGCAATTTCATGATCTTGGGTTTAAAAAGATTTTTGTTCCGAGGCAAATAAGAAACATTTTATAACTGGCTTCTTTCATATTTCGCGGATTTGCAGAAAAAAAAATGAAAATCAATCAGCTTGAATTGAATTAATTTATATAGCACAAGGTTCCATTTTAAAAAACTTGAATTTAAACCTTAAACAAACAAAAAAGTAAAAATCCCGGCAAAAAGGCAGTTGTATTACTGGGTTCCCTGAAAAAATCAGCCAATTTGCCGTTCAACCGTTTGGCCAACTATAGCTGACATATACAGGGTGAGTCAAAAAAAAAGTGTGATTTGCGGCACCTGGTGCAAAATTCTACCTTTTTTTGTGCAACTCTCCTGTATGATGTTTTTTCAATATTTTTTGAAAATTTGTAATTTTTTTTGGTACTCCAATGGCCCCCAAAAAATCCGCGAATCTTTTTTTCTCTCAAAATCAAAAGTTCAGCAAAGCAAAAATGTGCATTCATATTATTTCTCTCTAAATCTAAAGTTTTATTAAAATTGAATCACAGAAAATTGGCAAAATCGTAATAAGAAAATCCGCAATTTTCAGTTCTGGGCTAATTTTTTAGGAAAAGTTATTTAAATTCTTTAGTTCCTTTCTTCTAAGTATATTCTAACGTATTAAATATACGCTGTTTAGATGAAACCTTAAGAATCATTGAAAAACAATTTTTCCGTAAAAATTATACCAGAACTGAAAATTGCGAATTTTCCAATTACAATTTTGCAAATTTTCTGAGATTCTGCAATTCAATCTTTTTAAAATTTTAGATTTCGATAGAAACAATTTATTTACACACTTTTGTTTTTCTGAACTTTTGATTTTGAAAGAAAAAAAGGTTCGCGGATTTTTTTTTTGACCATTGAAGTACCAAAAAAAATGCAAATTTTCAAAAAATATAAAAAAAACACCATACAGAAGAGTTGCACAAAAAAAGTTACACTTTTGCACCAGGCGCAGCAAATCACACTTTTTTTTACTCACCCTGAATATATATGTAAACAATCTAGATCCGAGATAACGTAATGATAACTCTACTCAAAGTCTAATTAGAATCTAAATGACTCTATCTCTCGCCAAAATACCGGCTCTCTATCCTTAGCCAAAACTCAAGGCTATATATACGTCTGCGTTGAAAGACAAATCTCATTGAACTAAATTTATTTATATACAGGTGGACGAAACTGACCGGGCTATCCCGGCAGGGTCAACATACAGATAATTAAGATATTTATATTACTAGCATGGATAACATAGATAACATTTTACTTGATCCAGAATATGCTACATATATATATGTATATATATATATATATATTTATATGCATGAGAGAAAATCTTTATTATATGCTTGCTGAATAAAAAAAGTTTTAACCTTAGGTTTCCCAAACAAATTTCAGCAAATTCGGTCCAGCTGTTTGGCCAGCTATAGCTTACATATAAATATATATAAAAATATATGTTTAAGCGAAGAGCTTTATTATACAGATATAGACTAGCTGAAGGGCAATTGAAAGAAAAAAATTTGATTTTTGAAGGAGAAAAAAAATCAAATTTTTGTTATCCTATGTTACCCACGAGTTCCTTAAAAAGAATTGTCAATTTTGTTTAGCTGTTTTGCCAGCTATAGCTAACATACACATATATTTATATATATGAGCAAAGAGATTTAATATATAGAAGATATATGATTAAACCTGCAGAGTAGAACACCATTCTTCAGTACATCTTCGTAAAGAGTATCCTCAGGCCACTCACCAACTACTGCCTGAATATAATCATAATACTAGTTTGGAAACCCAGCTTTGCCTGAATATAAACTTTCCCAATAAAAGTCAACCCACAGGCCTCACATCTGTAAATCAAGCCACGAAAGTTACTGTAGTTCTATCTAGTTTTCCAATCAAAATTGGAGGCAAATCGGCCACTGGATTATTGTCGGACAGACAAACAGACAAACAGAGGTTATTCCTTAATTTATTAAGATATATGTATTGTAAATGTGCATATAGTAAGAATGCAGGTATGCTAATACGATAAAAATGTTGATGTTGTATTTGTAGGCACGTGGATTTTAGGGCGCTTTCTAGTAATAATTCAGCTTTTTAATCTGACAATTCGGAGCACGATCGAAATTCAGCCGTGTATTGTACATAATACTCATATTTTTTTCATATTTTTATTCAACTACAAAGCCTTAGATAATCCAAATAAAAAAATTTCAATTTACTATGTAGTTTGGACCCGCCTAACCAGAGTAGGTTGTTTTAATTGGTTGGCCCACTATAAACAAATGAGAATTGCAGATAAATACAATGTACATTGTAAATTTTAAACATAAGAATGATGATAAATCAGGAAAAAGGTAAGGATGAGGGACAGACTTGAGAAGTTGCCGTGCTTTGGAAACTGCACATTTGGGAAGTTGCCAATTATGAAAAATGCCTATAATTGGGAAAGTGCCTAACATCTTCCATAAATGAAGTCTGAGAATGGGACTTAGGGCCGGTGTCGTGGGAAAATGTCTTAGCCATTTCAATACCAAAGTTAGAAATCAAAAGCAATGTTACAACATTAATAATGATTAATTACATAAAATTTAATTTAACTCTGAAATTTATTAAAAAAGGAGAAATCACAAAAAAGTGATTTCCTCTCAAATGTCATCCTCCTATCAAATTTTCAAACAATTAATTATTGTTCAAGATATGGATTTCTAACGTAATTTCTAACGTAATATTTTTTCTAATCAAAATCGATCAATAAACATCGACAAGTGTCATATTGTTACGTTTGATGCCTATCATTGTGTTAAATAAGTTAAATCTCTAGGGGGGAGGGGGGGGGGGAGATGAACTGATGCACGATACCATGTTGCAGTAAAAGTCGACGATTGTTAATGTAAGGGGGAACATGTGATTTTTGAGAAAGAGAAACGTTTATGTAATAATTGTCAAGAAATATACTTTTATCCAATCTGCCACAGCCTTCTCTTGTCCTGCATCCCTTTTTATCGCAACCTAAAACAAAATAAATAAAAGACGACATTTAAGCAATCTTTTGATGCTGTTATGAAGCAAAAAGTTTTTCCATTTTCTTGAAAAAAACTTCTGAAATGAAATGCACAAGCAAAATTATTGTGTTTCATGTTCACTGATTATGTTTCTTATATGAACATGCAAGGTCCGTCCTAATGACGTACTTTCGGTACGATAGTTTGGCCCCTAGACGCCATCTGGTCGACCATTTAACAGTGTTGAGAAGACGCGTACTCTGGACTTTATAACTTGAGTCTAACCGTCGTCTTCCATGCACAGCTGTATAGATTCCTCAGTAAATTGAAAAAGTACCATGGGCTTCTTAAAAAAATGATGAAACTTTAAGAGTTTTATATTTTTTTCTTTGTTTTTCATCTTTTTTTTCCTTTGTATCTATGGAAGAAGAATGTTTTTAACTTTAATAATTTAATTTTGAAGTTAATGGTGAAATCAAATACACAAAGTATTGCTTTGATATCGTCTTCATCTTCCAAAAGTTTATGAATCCCACTGAAAAAATCGTAGTTTTTGTAAACAGGTCGTGTCCTTCTTTTAATAACCCTTTAATGTGTTCCTTAATTTTAATCAAAAGAAATACAGTTAATTAATAACTAATGTAAATAAAAATATAAAAAGTACTATGCATAGAAACTAAACAGGTTTTCATGTTTCACAGAATCTAATAATTTGTATGTCAGGATAAATAATGAAAACAACGTTTACATTTATATAACAGTCAGCAAATAATAATTCGAGTTTAAACTATAAAATGAACTATGTATCATTTTTATCTCGAACTTTTCAAAACTCCAAAAAACAATTTATCATTTACTCTCAGACAAATTAGAATCAATGGAAATTTAAACCCCCGAGGGATTCAATTAAACCCAAGGGCTTGCGGATTTTGCGGATTTTTTTTGCCTTTGTAGATTTTCAAGGTATCTTTCAATGAAAATATCTCGACGGGATTAAATGAAAATTGTTGCATACCAAAAAAAACCGCTTTTTATAAAGGAATAAAATTCCTACCAAATACCAATAGAATCATTATTAAATACCCGTTTATAATTTTTCACAAAAAGATATTTCCAAAAATGTTTTTATTTTTTCCTACCGGTCTAGGCATTTTAGTGTGCTGTGTTCTTTCACTAGTATATCTGTATTCGCCTGTATCCCTTCAGCTTTAAACGATTTTAATAAACAAATAATTCACAGGAGGGATTCAACATGATATGTAATTTCATCGAGGGCCCTGAAAAAGATTTTAGTAATCTCCTATTCCATAAATATTGCCCCCCCCTCCCCTCCCACTCCCCTGTCTGAAAAGGTGTGGAACCATGTAGAACCTTCCTGAAATTCACAAACAATGAATTATCAAAAAAATATTTTACGAAACCTTTATATAGTTTATATAGTTTATATAGTTTATATTGGAAATTACAAAAATGTTTCCAGTTCATCAAGCACAATTTAATTAATTACTTTAATACAAATAATATTAATATATTTTCAAGATGGAATGTTGTTTTATTAATTACATATTTTTGCACCAATTGTATACATTTCCGAATTCGGGCTCTAAGTATTTTTCCTTCCCCATTCTTATATTGTTCTTTAGTCTTTCTTGGGTTTTATTCAGTCAAGTTGTGATATTTTGATAAAGTGAAAAGAAGAAAATAGTAAATATGAAGACGACATTGAAGCAATACTGAAGTGCATTGGATCTTGTTACAAAGCCAATAGCTTTACTTTTAGGTTTTTAAATCGGTCATAAAGTAAAATATGGGTATGTTGACATTGCACAATTGCTGTGCCTTCTGTTCATTGGACTTCACAAACTTTACAAACTTGAGTTTAAAAATCGACTTAGCTTCCTATTCCAGAGTTTTCTGGTTATTACTGTATGAAAGCTATGCACCTATCACAACATTTTTAAATCCTTATTATTTAAAAAAAAGATGAAATCCAGGGTAGTTTTAGGGCTCTAAACTTACTAGAAGGGATCCTTTTACTCTGACTAAATATCTAAAAATAGACAAGGATAGCCTTGTATAGGTTTTATATAAAGTTGGCACTGTTCCAACTCCATGATCTATTTTGTAGATAATTCACTAAAATACTGGAAAATCAGGTAAAACGTCTAGAAAAACTAGAATGGAAGTGAGAGGGGGTGTAATATCTATATTTATATAATCAGAAAGGCATAAGTACGAGTAAGTTTTATTCCTTGATATATAAGGTTGATAAAATAAGGATATATTGGATAAAGAAGAGAAATAATCACGTTCACCACCGGACTAACCAGGGCGAGATGTGTTTGGTTTCTTTAATTTGAATTCACATATGTTGGCCTTTTATTCAACAATATTTAATTTTACAGAGCTGTTCTTCTGTACTTCTACATTTTTAGTGCAGCCACTGACAAAAAAAATAGAAAAAAAGATGAAAAGTAAATTTTTAGATCAATTGAATAAATTGTGATATTAAGTCACCTAGCTTGCTGTGTTCAGTTCATGGACCGAACTGTTAAATCTGCATGCGCTTTACGGAGCATTTGTTCAAATTCAACATTTTATAGACCTACTTTTCTTTGAAATAATATGTTTATGAATTGACACATTTTTAAATCTCAGATTTAAAACATTTCAATTAAGTATTTCTTAAAAGTTTCCTTTCTTAAAAAGGAGAATTTTTTTTCAATCAAAAATGATTTAAAGTTATTAGAATTTTAAAAATATCAATTATACTATTAAATATAGTTATATGAACTTCACTCTTGTAGCATAAATTTATTTCATATCAGATATTTAAGACGCCTGCCTAAAGAGCGTATAGAAATAAACGTTTATCAATCAAATATCAATTAATTTCATATGAGAATTTGCCAAAAGTATTTAAGATATTTAGTCAAGAAGTTCTCAAGTTTCATTTAATACAGAGTTACCCAAACAGGATGAGACTTAAAGGGACAGACCGGCGATGTAAAGTAGTTGAACTGAGTATTCTGCAGTGTTGTGGACAAATTCTTTAGGATTCATTTGAGACATATAAAACTTAAAATTATTAAATAATTGATTTATTAACAAAGTTCTTTTGAGAAATATGTTCCTAACCATCTAATTAGTTTACTGCATATTTTTGATACTTTATTTTTCGTCGTCGTTATTTAATAATTTAAAAAGCCCGATTCTGAAAACGTAATCACCCAAATTAATAATTTTGAACGTCGACTATGCACTCAAACTCAGTAATCATACATCGAAGAAACGTTTTATATGTCTCAAATGAATCTTAAAGAATTTGTCTACAACACTGCATACTCAGTTCAACTACTTTACATAGCCGGTCGTGTCCCTTGAAATGACATACCTCAAATTCCTTACATATTATGATTTACACACCACGAACAAACGAGAGAGAGAAGAATTCGGTTTCTTTTATTTGAAATCAAACGTGTTTTCGTCTATAACTCAACAGTCTTTAGACTTACAGATTTGTTTGTTTTATACTTTTCCATTTAAAATGTATATGCCAACCAATCAATGTTTATGATGAAAGGCTATAAAATTATGTAAAAGGGGTCAAATTTTGATCGAAAGTCACAGTTTTCTGAAAAATTGACAGAACCATTAAATCCACGTGTACAGGTTGAAATATATATATTTTGATCAATAATAATCTCCTAAGGTTTGTGAGAGAAAAATAAGAAAGTAAACAATGCGGGGAACCTTGAATGTAAGATATAAGTCTGAATAAATTCCGCACAGTCGTCTCTGAAGTTTCATCCTTTGTGGGTAACATTAAGTTAGAACTTGAAAAGTAAGGGAAAACTGTAGCTCTGATTCCCAAAGATAGGTTGATAAGATTCCGTTGTTATGGATGGAAATCTGAAACCGTCTAAACCTGGGCTCCTGCATCTGTTGGATAATTTAACAAACAGGTTTATTTTTTAATTTTTTACATTCTTAACAACATCTTGATTTCATGATATATACATTGTTCTACTGGAAACAGGTTTCTCTGGCTTTCACTAGTCACGTGATCCCTCTAGAGATCAGCGGAAAGAATTTTATTCAGTTAAACTTGGACTGTGGTCAGAGTAGGATGTGCTGAACTATGACGTCACCGTTCCAAAGTTCGTTTATCAACCCTAATACAGGGTGTCCTGCAGGGTAGGTCTCAAAGCAGAAATACATATTTTCTTTGGCATTTTATTTGTCATCCCTGTTCTTTGAATGTAAATTTTTCCTTCAGTATAAAATAAATGTTTGCGCCTGCGATATAGCGCAAAAGGTTTTCACTGCATAGAAGAGAAATAAAAACTAAAAGGTATCAGAAAAGGCATGAAAACTTTCAGTGGATGTCAATTTTTAAAATTTCTCTCCCCCCCCTTCTCCCCACATCATAAAAATTCATTTCCCTCTTCCCTAAAAAAGGGATATATCATTATTTTATTGTCTCATATCTGAAAATCTGTAAATTCTAAGGTTCACCGGTCCCTGACAATATGTCTTTTAATAAATAATACTGCTCGAGCTATCGAGGCAAACATAAAAAAAACCATTGCTTGATCAGACAAAGCTTCTATGGGTAACGTTGTGAATCGGACATACAAGTCAATCAGAAAAGGGTCACTTAAAATTACGTTTACAGTCCCTTTAATGTTGAATGTACAAATAAAAAAGGCCTAAATAAGTTTCGTTGAGCTGTCTTCGAATTCTCATCCTTTGTGGATAATCCTGTATGCACTATAGAATCTCGCTAGGAGGTATTTGTTCATTTGGTGTACTGTCCCGTTGTGCCTTCTATAGTCTGTATATGTACTGTACTGCTTGCTCTGGATAAAATACGGCCCGGTACTTGAATTGAACCAGAGTTTACAGTGTGAGAATGTAAAGTGTAGAGAATATTGAAAAATACTGTGAATATGCAAAATCTTATATTTGTAGGTATACAAGGGCTCCTCGAAGTACAGAATCCTTTAGGAAAACCAAAAATATTTAAAAACCATCTTTAAAAAGTTTTTTTCATTCGTGTCATAATTTAAAACTTGAACATTTTAGATCCAGTGATAACCAGAAAACAATTGAATAGGAAGACGACATTATATAGATATCAAATTGTATTTGATGTTGTTTCACACTTGTATGCCAATTCCATTATAGCGCCTGATCCAATCACGGTTCAGTAATGTATTTGGTGTAAATTCTGAACAACCAATAGAAATAGCATGGCGGTAACATCTATCTTTCTATCTATCTTATCAGCCAATTAGAGTTGAATCCTTATATCAGAACTATAACAGTAAATAGAAATATTTACTACTACTGAAACTACAGTTTCTAAGCAAATAGTTTAACTGCACACTTATAAAATTAAATGGGTCTGTCTACACTGCAATATTGTTGCGTCTCACTCGCATTGAACTTCTTTATGTTATAACTAGAGTGTAAAAGTCGTCTTCCTTTTTCAGATTTTTATGGTTATCACATTAAACAATATTTTTTTTGTTAATTGCAGCGAAGAAACCGAGAATGAACATTTACGACATCAGGTAAGGTCGTCTTTAATGGACTGTTCACATACATAAAAGCTAAAAAATATTTTTAATTTTGATATTCCACGGGCAGCGCCTGACACTTCAGCTAAACTCATGATTTAATACGAAGCGAGGGTAAACGGCGAAAGTAACCAGGCTATGAATAAAAAATAGCAATTCCGTGCACTCTTGCTAGTAATAATAATAAATAATAAGGGCCGGACCGTTAAAATACAGAACAATATAAACGTTTGACGTTTCCAGTGAACGAAAACTTTCGTGAAACATGCAAATATTTGCGTACGTATTTCGCAAACTTTTTCGATACATTTTTTCGCATTATTTTTTGGTAAAATGAATTAAGCTAAAATAGTTTTCGCGAAAAAAAAATTTCACGAAAACGGTGTTGTTGCCGCTATAATTATTTGCGCAAAAAAAACTTGTGGAATTCTCTGCTCTCAGGGACCAGCATTAGAAGCTTTATTATATCATAATTAATAATTTCTCTTCCGTATTTTTTTTCGCAAAATTTTCGCATTCTTTCACGAAATTTTTGCATTTTTTTCGCAAATATTTCGAATTTTTTCGCGAAACAGATTAGAGCGAAATTTCGCAAAAAACCCGAAAATTTTCGCATTTTTCTCGAGCGAACGAAATGCGAAATTTGAACCCTAGTTCTGCATGACACAAACAAACAATTTTTTTTTATTCTATAAAGAAGACATACACAAAGAATAATACAGGGTGTCCCACGAAACATGACAGTTGGTGAATAGTTTTGAATGTCTTCTTCCATAACAAGTATTATATATTGAAGACTTTTTGCAGTTTATTTTGCTAAAAAAAAATCTTTTACTAAATTATATTTTGCTTTGAAATCGACTTATAATAATACTACCAAGCGATGTTTTTATTATTCTCTTTGGTATTAAAGAACCTAACAAATTATGGAAGAAGACATTTAAAACTATTCACCAACTGTCATATTTCCTGGGACACCATGTATTATTCTAAAAACAAATGTTGACGTAAATAAAAATATTTCGTAATGTACATTGTACATATTATTCTAAAAATAAGGTTCTTGCACTTGCATGAAAAAATGTAGAATTCTAACATACTCAAAAAAAGATTATTCGCGAATATACAGAAAAATAAAAAATTGCATTTTTTTTTATTAATTTGTGTAGGAGGGTGTAAACCTAATGGTAGAGCAGAAAGGATTAAGCTATGGAGAATATTTAAACCTGGATAAAATACTGGACGCTCAGGAGATGCAATCTTGTAAACATGGTTAGTAGCTACAGTTCAACACAGAGTAATTAGGAGACATCGAAAGAATTTATAAAATGACATCTGGACAATTTTCCATTGGATTTTATACGATTATACCTAAATCTTAGTAATTATAAAAATAAATAGATAGCCATAAAATCTTTTCAAACTATTGCCCATCGCTTCCCTTCTTTTTAATTATATATATACTAGGAAACTTGGGGATACAGTGATCCCAAGTGATAATTTCCCAAATAGCAACTTCCCAAGTGATAATTTCCCAAAGGGCAACTTCCCAAGCGTTATGCTTCCCAAAGGTTAGGTTTGGCCTTCTGAGTCGCCACAGGATGCACTGGGAGTCCACAGCGCTGTGAATAGGATATTCTTGGGAAGTTGCCGCTTGGGATATTGTATATTTGGGAGGTTGCCACATCAGAAGACTATCCGCACTTCATAGAACTGTATTTCACAGATATTTAAGTTACAGAACAAAAACAAACCTAGTACTTTTCTAAACTCAGATTTTTATCTCTATATCTTTGCAACTTGATGTCACAGCTAGATCTTTGATATTTTCAACTACGAATTCCGCTTGTTGGTTCAAAAAAGTTGAAGTGATTTAGAGTTTGTGGCAAGAACTGAGTTCCTCTAGATAGGATACTAGATACTAGATAGGATACT